TCATACATATTTTAAGCTTTGTAGGCCACAAGGTCTCTGACACAGTTACTTTATTGCTACTGCACCAACACAGATACAGACAACATGTGAAGAAATAGGCATGGTTGTGCTACAGTTAACCCTTACTGACAAAGACAGGAGGCAGCCGTATCTCGCCTGCAGGCTGAGTTTGCAGAGCACAGGCTAAAGAAATGAACATATAAATAAGAAACAGAAACACACACACTTGAACACTGTACCAGCCATTTAGCAAATTCTCTCACAATGCATCAGTGCCACAAGATTTACAGACCATGCAGTGAAGTACATAAATTTATGTACTAAAAATTCTTTTAGCCATTTTTTTCCCATGAGATGTGCAGAACAACCTCTGAACATGTATTGGTCAAATATGCTTTGGGTTCTTTAAACCAAGCAAACTGCATTTACTAGCGTTAAGTGAACAGTAATGATGAAATGATTCCATGACAGCCATTATGTTGCTCACCACCCACTGCCAACTCTATCAAAAACTTTTGCAGTTAACATCTAACCCCACTACCCGTATAATAATTTTTCCCTCTTTTAATTGCACTCAAATTCTAAGGGTTCCTACATAATTTCTATAAAAATTTGAACTAAATTTTTATTTCTATAAAAATTTAAACTATTCTAACTTGAACTATGCTAAAGAAAGAAGACAATCACGTTTAAGAGATCATTAATTTTATCAGTAGAAAGAGTACAAGGTTAATTAAATATGTATCTGCCAAGGTGAAGGTGCTTAAAATTAAAGTGTATGATAAATGATGTTATTTTAAATATTCACAAGTGAAAAACCATTTTATTTTAGGGTTAAAGTAACCTTTAGTGAAACTATTAATGCAACTACTACTTTTTTGAACGTACAACAGAAATGAAAAATATCTTACTCTTCTTTGAGTGCTCCCTTTTTACTAGGCTCCTCTACAAATGCTTCTGTTTCTTGCTCTTCTGACATTCCATGAAGGTACGGATTTAATGGGGGTGGCCTCCAAAAAGATCCATTTTTGAACATACGAAAATCCTCTGTCCGCCATTTAGTTGGAGAATCTCCCTAAAAAAAATCCACAAAGTTATTAAAAAGATGTGGTAACTCACAGTCAAAAGAAATGAAGTAAATAATTCTACTTGCCTGCAGAATAGAATAAAGCTTCCACCTGTAGTAAACATGGGCTGGTGTCTGGTTTTCAAATAAGAACCTAACCAAAACAAACCAAAAAAAAAAAAATCATGTTTAAGAAACGGCCACCTTAAATTACATACAGTAAGAAACATCTGTCTACTAATTCTAAATAAAACTGAAAGAAAGACTTCCATACACTGTCACCTGCTACATATCCCTTCCCTATCCCAGCTGCAGAATGCTTCAGTAGCTAAAAGTAATACTCAGAGAACATGCATTTTGTTGAATCTCTGGACATGTTTATAAACATTTACAAGTGAGATTTTTTTACTGCAACTGATTTTTGCACAACATGGAATTTCAAAAGCAAAGACATTACGCTATTTAAGAAGCTAAATGTGTTAAATACCGTATCAATTAAGAAGACAATTTCCTTTGAAACTCATCTGTTCAACAAAGCATAATGAAGTATTTTCTTCCTAGAGAACGCTAAAAAATTAATTATCTAAATCAAAATGAAGAAAACTGACCTAAGCACACTTTAATTACTAAAACGGATTTCTCACCTCTCTGCAAAACAACCCTATAATTTTAGAACTTTATTTTTGGAAATATTTTTAATTCCAAAAAGTTAGAAGCATTTTAAAAAATTCACACCTAAAGATAAAACATGATACACATATACAATAGAATATTATTTACCCTTGAAAAAGAAATTCCAGTGTATAGGTACAACATGGATAAACCTTGAAGACTTTTGTAGATAAAATAAGCTAGTCACAAAAGGACAAATACGGGCCAGCCAAATAGCTCAGCGGATTAAAGCGCCTGCTTAGGCAGACACAGGGCCTGGGGTTTGATCCCAGGGCCTGCCATGCTGGCCCTGCCCGAGGTAAGCTGACAAGGCAATTGAGACTGTGCGTGGTGGTATTTGCCTATAATCCCAGCACTTGAGAGGCTGAAAAAACAGGAGAATCACTACGAGTCCAATCTACATAGTAAGACCCTGTACTAAATAAAAAAAATAAATAAATGACAAAAATAGTTTTATTACAGTAATTTTTTAAAAATGCACACCTGAACATAGGATTGTTGATTTCTCTGTTCATAATCATAGCTTCAAACATCGGCCCTTCACGTACAACAAACTCTATCATTCGATGTATCAGGGCGAGCAAATTCCTACAACAACAACACAGTTAAAGAAAATGGATTCAGACCTACCACTATACAAAACTACACTTGACCTAAATTACTATAATTGTGCAGAAAAAGATTATTCTGCTGACTAACAGAATTTAATACGAAAAAAATAAGCTGGAGCATATTTTAACACCTTCCACATTAAGAGGGAGTAGGGCAGTGAGGGGAGGGGAGGGGAGGGAAGGGGAATGGAAGGAAAGGTGAAGGGAGGGTGGGAAATGACAACAAAGCCTCATAATAATAAAGATTTAATTTTCTAAATGCCACTTAATTTTATTTTCCAAATGCAAAAGATCAAATTATAAATCACAACTAAACAGAAAGCTGTAAATATATAAAAGCAGTAACTTAGAGCTCGCATATTATAATCATCTAAAATTTTACACTATCTCAATTTTAAGAGAAAATATTCCTAATCCAAGTACTTTTGTAGTATTGAAATGTTATAACCATGATTATAATTTATGAAAATACAAAACACAACAGATTTAAGGCCTGATTTAATAATAATAAAAATAATCCATCCAATTCCTGTGCCTTTCTGGTACACATATACCAGATGGAGTTTTTATTAAATCTGACCTTTAATGAGGCAACATCCCTTTGGAACATTCTTCAAACTACAATTTATGACATGTATAATTCTGCCTACGTATTATGGATCAATGAAGAAATTACATTGCCAAAGCTTAAACAGAAACCTGTTCTTTCCAAAATGGGGGATATGGTGAGATGCCTTTCTTATCTTTTCATAACAATTATTTTTCAGTATTTAAGCCCAAGAAGAACGTATGTAACTGTTTTAGTTACAGCCATTCTACTGGTTGAATTCACAGAAAGTTTATTTTCAAAAATTTCATGCTAAGATCTATAGTAACACTCAAAACACAATTTCAGACACTGAGTATGGATGTTGTCTGGCAAAAATGACTCAGCTTGCTTACAAGCTGCTTTCAACTTCTCATTTCACCAGTCCCCAGCGTACAGAATCAGAAAATAACAATTGGGAAAAACAAAAGGATATTGGCTCTTGGTATGAGGCACACACTAAATTACATCTTTAGCATTCCCAGCTCCAACTAAACTCACTTTAACTTCTATGATATATAGATACAGATACAGAACAAGATTTTGGCTATATAATGCTCTGCTTCAAAATGACTAACAGTAAAATAATCTCATGTTGATTATAATTATTTTCTCCCAGTTTCCAAACAAAGCTACTTAAGCAGACACTAAACTCTTTACAACATGGGGAAGTTTAATTATAAAGGAGGTCAAAAATTATATGAAGATTTAAATATTTATGAAGGGGAAGCTATACATTTTAAACTATTCAATTTGTTAAAACAACATAATTTTAAATTTAAAAATTTTTCTTCACAGAAGTATTAACTGTTCTGCAAATGTGCAGTTGTTCATATCCATAACAGAATGTATTCTCAACATCCAGAGTTAATGACATTATTTTGAAGAAAGGGTGATAAGAATTACGGTTCAATTCCAAAATTCCCACTAGTATGAGCCAAATTAAAGCTAAGTGTAATTTCTTCTATAAGACTATTTACCAGGTGGACAAATGCAATACACCCAGATACTTGTGTGAATTAAGTCAAAAGCAACTTGACTTCAGTATTAAAAATATATGAAAAATGGTTTAGCAAGTTTAAAATCAAGATTCATTCTAATGGCCTATCAAGACTTTTCAACAAAATGTATACTCAGCATTTTGTTTAGAAATAAGATGAGCCACACATAAAGCTACTACTGCATATGTGTTCTGAATAGCACAAAAATTTTCCTACTTTATCCATCAAAAAAGTAACACTATAGTTTTAAACAGGCTTGTAACTTAAATAAAATCTAGTTTTATAAAATTAAAAGTTTAAAAGAAGTTTTTAAATTCTTATGATTATTTAAAATCAAAATCTGACAATTAGCTGTTACTAACTTGAATTTAAGATTATCAAAGAATTGGAATCACATTTTTACTTTAAGGACTGTGTCATTTTCTTAATTAAAAAATGGTGACTTTTCTATCAGAATACAACAGTGTAGTACAAAAAGATGACACATTTTAGAGTGCATTATTTTATTTTTAAATGATAATTATCTTATTCTGGGCAACCACAACAACGAAAAAAATTGTTTGTCAGTTATAATAAAACCACATTTATTGGAGTCGATCGTACCAATGTCTGGTCAAAAACTGTATACTTTCCCAATCCATCCCATGATGTTTTCCTGGTCCCCCGCTGCCGCAGACAGTTCAGCTGGTGTTGCTCACCAAGGCCAATGTCAAAGAGAATTTGGTATTCTTTTGTGTTCATTTATTATTCAACCAGTGTTGTGTTTCTGTGTTTGGGAAAAGGCTTAGCTTGACTGAGCAAGAGCATACCTAGAGTGTGAATTCTACTGCATTAACAGTATGTTGAAAAAGAGACAGAAAGAAAAATAAAAGAATTCCAAACATCTTGGTAATCATAAATAAGTTTCTAGTATGTCCAGTGCTCATGAAAATAGGAATTTGTTCTTAGAATCAATTAATTAAAAAATAAAACTATGTCTTCAATAAAACTCAAAACAAGGCTGTATATTAAATGTACACAATTCAGAAACCACAAGAAGGGGGAAGAAACAGGTCAAATTACAGCATTATTTAAAATTTAAGATACGCTTTATTTTAAAAAGTACTATTACTTTTCTATCATAAAAGCATTATTACACCAACAACTCCAGATTAAAGCTACTAAACACATTCTAACTACTAAGCTATAAAAATTCCTACATTGATAACAATAAAAAAGGATAATAACATAAAATTGTAAAGTATACTAAAATTAGTTACATTTCACATATCCCCCCAAAAAAAGTACTGGGAAGAAACCATTGCTCAGTCAAGATATTACCTTTTCCTCAACACCATTTTTCTTAAATTCAAAAGGGGATATTGTCTATATTTAGATCAGTAATAATAAAGAAAAACATGTACCTTTCTGTTGGGATAACCACTTTGACTATGGCTTGCGACAGAGTCTGTATATGAAGTCACATCAGATAATAAACATAGAATATGTGAGTATTGTTAACAAGTAACAAGCAAAAATATACATATGCATTGAAAATACTACACATCTAATCACAAGTTTTGCAGGCAATCACTGCATTTGAAGTAATTATACACTAAGCAATTATATAAATGCAAATGGATGTGTTCAGTGAACAATAATTGTTCACCAAATGCAAAGAATCAGAACATTCCTGCCAGAATGCACATCAATGCACTGAAATAGGTACTACACTGAGAATTATCAGATAAAGATTTTAATTTGTGAAATAATTAGCTGTTTGCCTCTGACCATACAGTTTGCTACTTTGTTCCCAAGCCTTTAAAACCAGCCCTGTCATTTTAAGTGTAATTCATAATAGAACCAACAAATTCTTTAACTCAAAATTAAGTTGGTTTTATTTAATAAAAAGAATACTCACCCTTCGCTTCTACTAGATCATTTAGGTTTTTTTTAAATACCACATATGCTCTCATCCAATATTCTAATACCTCAGACCCTGCAAACTAAATTAGATAGCTGCCATCCAAACAATTTAACTATTTAGGTGGTCTTTCTAACTGAAAAGTCACTTAACCAAACATAAACTGCCACTTTCTCAGAATAAAGTAAACTGAGATACTACACTTAAGCAAACCTGAATACAACACTGGACAAAAGAAAAAAAAACTTAACAAGTGGTCAAAAAAGGAATGGTAGCCACAAATAAAAATATGACCTAGTATTTCCATAAAGGGTTTCCATGGGCTAAGGCAGGGAACACATCTATTTAAGAGTTGCCAAACAGAATTACACACACATTTTTTTTAAATTGTTGAAAAGAAATACTACCACAGATTTAGAATTTACAAACTAGATGCGGCCCTATATACATTTTTAAAATTACCTTCTCAAAATCCTCCTTGTTTTTAGGTGGTGGTAACATGGGAGCATTGGGGTTTTTTAACCGCTCTCTAGGCTGCGCGTTAAAAGGCAGTCCAGATGGAGGTGGGGGAAGCGTATGTTCCATCATAGAAGGAGGAATGTATATTGGATGTGGAGGAATTGGTACTGCTTTACCCCAACCTAACTTCATTTCGAAAGACATAATCATTTTTCCTACAAGAAAGAAAGGTCACTTTAGTTGAGTCTCTAATAAAAATAACGTTTCTAAATTCATATTTAACTTCTACACTTTAAGTCAAATTCCTCACTGTACTTTTTTGTAAATACTCTTCTGAATTTTTTAAAAATAAAGGTCTGAATTTAATAAATGGAATACTATCAATGTTCTTACCATTTAAATTTTTTAAAGCTCTTTCAGCATCTCGTCTATTCATAAAAGCCACAAAGCCACAATTTCTCTCTCTTGCTCTTTCTTCATCAGTTCTAGGCCACATAATTTTCACACTAGCCAATGGTCCAAATCTTCCAAATTCTTGGCACAGCATTTCTTCATTCATCTATAACGTACATAGAAGATTTTGGGGAATACAAAAAAAAAAAAAAAAAAAAAGACAAGAAAAATCTCTATGCAATAGAAAGCAAAGTAGTTTTCAAACAATGAAAGCAACATATTACACGTAACTGCAACTATTAGGAACTCTATATAAGTAAAATCTGGCCCTCTTGGAGTATTTATAAGTATTTCCGGGGGTGGAGTGGGGGCTAGATGACTATAAACAATGAAGAACACTTCAACATCCCCTTCCTATTTTAACACCCCACTTTCTAAATAAGCTGTTCTAGAGACAGTTTGCCATTTAAGAAATATTTTCCATGGTTAGCATATTTAAAAAGGATCAGTATGTGTTGAAGAAAAAAAAAATCACCCTTTTCCCTTTCTAGCAGCCAATTTCCAGTGTGATCAAGAGTAAACACAATAAGTACGCGATACAGTCAAGTTATACCTGTAATTTTTAAAAACGATATTCTGCATAATCATTGTATCCCTCATTGCATAACTGCTAATATTGAAGCAGAAAAAATAAATAAAATAAAAAAGACAAATACTAGTTTACTGGTATGAGGAGAAAATAATAAAAGAACTCTATGAAGAAACAAACTATGCATTAAAAAAAGTTTTTAAAAAGATCATTTCCCATTCCTGATTATATCCTGACCGATGATAAAATCAGCACCTAGTAAAACATTTCAAATTCAGAATACAGTCCAGATACTGGAGGAGAAGACAAGCCCTCAATAATCTGTAGCAAAACAATTTGGGTCATATCTGTAAGTACCACTTAAAGAGTACCTACTTTCATCTAAAACCATAAGGCATAAGGGCCAACACTCATTTTATTAATACCACCTGGAGGGCCGGCCAGCTAACTCACAGCAGATCAAGAGTAAATACAGTAAGTATGCAATAAAGTAGGCACAGGGACCAGGGTTTGATCCCCAGAGTGCCATGCTATCTTGTGCCAGCCCTGCCCCTGGGGTGTGCTGAGACAGCGATTGACACCGGGCATGGTGGCACACACCTGTAATCCCCGAGTTTGGGAGGCTGAAAACAGGAGGATCACTATGAGTCCAATCTGTGTAGTGAGACCCTGTAGACCCTGTACTAAATACATTAAAAAAAAAAAAAAATACTACCTGTGGATTAATGTTTCCAAGGTATAAATTAGTGGTACTTGGATCTCCTACATCATGTGAGCCAGGTGCATAATCATCAAGAACTACAGCAAAAAGAAAAAAAAAAAAAAAAAAATTATAAGCTGCAAAGTACAAAGTGAAAATTTTATTAATTGAAGAGCAAGAAACTTTTTACCACCAGATGATCTATTTCTTCTTGAAGGTGCATCCACTTAAAAGGGAAAACAGAAAATAACTCTTAGCTTTGGAAATGATTAATCATAAATATACATGTCAAAGTAAATGTCACTTACTAGAACGACGCTGACCATCAGAATCTGATTGAGGAGGCTCAAATCGACTTAACCTGCCTTTTGTTTTATGTCTTTCATCACGTTCTTCTTGAATTCTGTTGAAAGTATTTACAGTCACTAAATATGAGCCACTAATTGCTTATTCACATTTAATGAGAAACCAAGTACCATCTTCAAATAATATGAAATATCAGTGAGTAATTAAAGATTGGTAATAATAACCAAAATTTACAATCCTGTTATGACAGTCATAAACAAATTTTTATCATCTCAGAATCTGGCTGAAAAACTTCAAAATAAAAACTGCCAAATTTGTTGTTTCACATTAAATCTGACCACCTTACCTTTATCATCAATGAGTACATGTTTAAATTGTTTTAAAGTTATTATAGTGTAGGGGACTCAGGTCAACAATTTCTGACATTGCCAGTCAAACGGAAGACCCAATACTATTATGGGCTACTAGACTCTTTTAGAATATTTTGCTGAGTTTACACACCTATAATATGCAAATAATGGAACTTAACAAAAAAAGGGGATACAGATGAATGTCCATTTTGTATCTGTGTATTCAAAATGGTTAGGATAGATATATAGTTACATTCTCTTAATGAATAGAGGGATTTGTTCTAATGGTGTTTGTAAATAGGATATCATGTCCGCATCTTGTACAGCAATTAACCAGTAGGAAGAATGTATGCAGTGTGTTAATTATTGAAACTGTCCTACTAATTTGATTTGAAACTGTCTCATTGCTATTTGTTTCTCAATAAAATTATGGAAAAAAATAAAGTTGTTATAGTGAAAGACATATTCCCATTAACCTCACACATGTACATTTCAAACACACTTATCCCATTATTGTCACTTTTTGAAGTAGTTCTAAAAGTCCTCTTTCATGAGTTTTCAAGGTGTGACAAAAAATACACAAATGCTGTTGCTAAGTGCCAACCAATAGAAAGGCAGTCTTTTAAAAACATTATAGTATGTCCTTGTCCACCTTATTCATCAGAACTGGCACTGTATAACTTCTCCCAAAGTCAAAATGACCATAAAAGGTAAACTCCATCAATTTAGGACATCAAGGTAAGCATACAACTAAAGATACAAAAGAGGGCCTCGCAGAACTACTTCAGAAAGTGACAAGAAGGTTGGAATAAGGATATCTAAAGTGAGAGGGAGAACACATTGAGGGGAATTAATAATAATGTCATGGACTGTAAAAATTTAAACATTCACCATACTTTTCAATCATACATATTGCTTCCACCAAAAAGGCACCAGCCATTCAATAAATCATTGAATTGCCACACCTGACTAAATGCTAACTCATTTTCAAACACTCCACCAAATACATCTTAAAAAGTAACCTCATGGAAAGCTAATAATAACTTACATACTAAGTGCTCCTATACTATAAAACTTACTGTTTTAATTCTTCTTTGAAGAGTTCCAAATTGCTTTTTTTCTTTTCTTTCTCCCCTTTCTTCAATGGCTATAAAGGGCATTACAAGCATAGTTCAAACATAAGAAAAATAAACAATGTATCAAAGTTTAAAATCCCTGTGCTTCAATTAAGAAAGGGTAAAACCAAGGAACAGAATGGGAGAAAAATATTTACAAACCATGTAGCTGATAAAAACTTGACTCTAGAAAATATAAAGTACTCTTAAAATTCAAGATAAAAAAAGACACCTCAATTAAAACAAAGATCAAAAATTTGAATACCCGTTTCTCTAAAGATCACAAATGGACAGCAAAGACATGAAAAGATATTCAACATTATTAGACAAAAACATTCTGGACCACAACGAGATACAACTTCACACTCTAAGATGCCTAAAACAATTTTAACAAGCACTGATGAAAATGTGGAAAAATTAAAACCTTCATATATTACTGCTAGGTAAAACCATTTGGTAGGTTCTCAAAAAATTACTATGACTCAAAAATTCTGCTCATGGGTATTTCCAAGAGAACTGAAAACATGTCCACAAAAAAAACCCATGCACAAATGTTTGTAGCAGTATTTTTGAGTATAGCTGAAAAGTGGAACCATTCCAAATGTCCACGAAGTAATAAATGGAAAAGCAATATATCGTATATCCTAAAATGGAATATTTGACAACAGAAAGGGTTAAAATATGTCACAACACGCTAAGTTAAAAAATAAAAATAATAAGGTAACATGTTGTATAATTCCATCTGTATGAAGTGTCTAAAACAAGAAAATCAAAGAGTAAATTAATTATCAAAAAGAGCTAGGAACATGAGGGAAACAGGGTTGAAAGTTATGGGGAGTCAAAATGTTCTGAAATTTTAGTGCTTAGATTTCTGTTGAGCAACTGTGAATACTATACCTAAGTGTACACACCCAAAGGGTAATTTTATAGTATGTGAATTGTATCTTCAAAAAGCTGTTATTTAACTGTTTTCAGAGCTATCTTTAAACAGAAAAACCAGTCTCACTGTTCATTTTTTATTCACAAAACACGGTTTCAAATGACACAACTCACACCTATCACCTCCCATAAAAACCTCACTCCCCAAGAATAAAAGCTTTTCTACCACTGAAAATACTTAAGGTAGTCAACTACTTCTGATACTAATTCTCAAAAAGTTCCAAAATGTTCTGGGAAGCACACACCACACAAAGCTACTCAGTTCAGAATTGCTTAAAACATGACTCTATTACATATTTTATATTAATACACAAAATACAGGAAATGAGTGTAATAATGTGAGTATAATAAAAACAAATTATCGAGAAAGAGTAATACCTACATACTCCACTCTAATTTATTATCTCTTATCTTTGTAAATCACTCAGTGAGATGGCATTAGAATTCAACATCTAGCTCAAAAACTTAAAAACAAAAATCCAAATATTCTGCTTACAGTAGAACTACCCAAAGTATCACTGGCAGTGTCATCTTTGAACAAAAGTGGTATTATTACTTAGGTATATGACTTACAGGTTTTTTGGTTTCTATCACCAGAAGAGATGGTGGTCTTTCATTGGAAGACTGATTTGGAGGATTTTTTTGATCTGCAAATCTTGAAGATGGCTTATAGATTTTACCTCTTTTTTCATCTGTTTCATGTTCTTCTGAAATTCAAAATAGTAAGTCACAAAACTAATTTTACCTTATTTGATTTTCTTTACTATTTTAAAATAAACAATTATTGTCTTTAATATTATGTATCACTGACAAAAATAAAACTAAATTCTTCAACTACCACCTTACCCTTAAAACACTAACTTCATCACTTTATAGCAAAACTATGAGATAAATTAGTTTTTGCTAAGTACTTAGCTGTCGTCCAATTTGAAAGGCATGAAATTTCTTTCAATTACCCAACTTTAATACTTTATTAATCAACATTTCACTATATATTTTGTTAACTAATATAACCACTAGAGGGTGCTGACAAAAAAGGAAATGTGAAATTAAAAAATAATCAAGCTTCTTCCATAATTATTTACTTGTATTCACTCAATCAAGACAGCATTTATTCAAGGACTATAATATTCACACTTACCTTTAGCTGCATTAACAACACCTCCTCGCACAAAAGTTTTTACTTTATTACCATCACTTCCTTCAAAAGCAGCAAGAAATTCCTCATAAATTTCAGCAGCTGCCTTTTCATCTTCCTAAGTACGTAACATAATGATAAAATGTAAAAATTACTATGGCAATACAGAATTAAATTCTTCAACAAATAGTGTAGACAAAATCTCTCCCTTCCCAAGATATGAAATTCTGATGAGAATATTTAGACAGTTGTGGTGGCACATGCCTATAATCCCAGTACTCAGGAGGCTGAGGCAAGGGGACTGCTGCAAATTCACAGCCATCCTGGGCTACATAGTGAGTTCATGGCCAGCCTGAACTACAAAGTGAGACCCTGTCTCAAAAACCTCTAACCTTCGATAGATCATACACATCAATTAACTCTGCAACTAAACAAATCCTTGCTTCCTTAGCAGCAATTTTCTGAACCAGAAAAAATCTGTTAACAAATAAATTCGCTTATAGAAATTCAAGGACCACAATGTAAGACCGTATGGAAGTATGTTATGCTATTAATGTTTGTATTTCCAAGGAAACTTAATTTGGTGAATATAACTTCTCTTTCAAGCCACAAAAGGTATGAGTAATAGAAGTTAAAAAAACAGCAACTCCTAAAACAGTGAGAACTATGACGTTTTCAATACAGATACTCTAATTGTTCACAATACATGTATTAGCAGAAAGATGAATGAAACAGAACATAAAACAACAACAAAAAATCCAATACCATATGGAAATTTAATTTATAAAAGGCACATCTCAAATCAATAATACATTGACTTTTCAATCATTAATTTTGGGATAACTGGCTAATCAAAAAGTGATTTAAAAAAAGAATCAATTCATCTATTAGGATAAAATGCAAATGAATCAATTTTATTTTCTTAAAAATGAAAACATCTTATTTTCTTAAAAATTAGAACAGAGTTCAATCCCCATTTCCACAAAAAATATATAAATAAAAATAAAAAATAAAAACAGAATGAAGGGGCTGGTGAGATGGTTCATTGGTCTAAAGCACCTACTTAGAACAAGCTTAGCAAAGCACAGGGACCGCGGTTCAATCCCCCAGCACCACATGCCAGCCAGCCCCGCCCCCTGGTGGGCTGAGCTGGCCACACACACACACATAAATAAATAAATTAATTAAAAAAAAAAAAAAACAGAATGAAATGTGAGGACATAATCTGAGAGCAAGAAAAACTAAGACCGAAAATCCAGAAATCATAAGAAAAGACAAATCTAATTATAGGACAATTTTTACAAGACATTAATTAATAAGAATGGATCACAACTTAAACAGTAACTTAAGAGAAAAAAAGTAGAGATATATCCAGTTTAAACAAACAAGAAAAAGTTTTTACACATAAAAGAAATTGTAAACTTAAAATTACACCTAGAAATTACTTTTTCTAGGTACTAACAGACTAACAAACCCCTCCGATAACATTCTCTACATGTAAGACTATGGGGAACAACCACTTATGTTACTGGCAAGGGTCAAAATGTCCTTTTCCCTACAGAAAACAATCTGACATTCATAAATAAAACCACATGCATTTATCATTTAACCAAGTAATCTCATCTCTACAAATATATGCCAAAGATACACTAGCAAAGAAAATGAACAAAAATATGGAAAGTGGTGTACACCTGTGATCCTATCGCTCCAAGAAGCTACAGCACAAAGATCACAAGTTTGAGCTTAATGAGACCCTGTCTCAAAATAAAAACTAGTTGGGGATGTAGTTCAGTGTAAAGGCCCTAAATTCAATCCCTAGTACTGGCACATGCACAATCATAACATTGTCCATAACTGCATTAATTTGTAATGGTGGGGCTGGAGAGATGGCTCAGTGGTCTAAAGCACCTACTTGGAACAAGCTTGGCAAAGCACAGGGACC